TAGGATAAATCATCTGAAAACAATTGACACCGCCAAATGGGGGAGGAAGGACACACGAAAGCAAAGAGGGGCGCACGAGAGGGGATGGGGATCGGTTCGACGATGCCGACTGCCGCCGCACTCCCAGGCCACTCCCCGCCCGCGCCACCCTCGGGGCGGCTGCGCCCTGCCCGCGCGGCGCTCCCCGCGGGCCCACGGACGTCGACGCGCCGCTACTCTCAAGTCGGGCGCGCCCCCCTTCGGACAGATCTGGGAGAAAGAAATAAAAGAGAAATCGCTCCCATGCAATTTTCTGATTACGTTCGAATATTCTTCCTGTAGAAGGACAAGCCCGACTGAGCGCTACCCCGCGATAAGACGAGGGAAGGGAAGGGGCGCTGAGTGCGAGCCGCGCGCGCGTGCGCGGCTGCGCGCTCTAAGGGCTCAGCGGGTCTTGGTCTGCCCATCGCGCTGGCGGGCGGCCGCGGGCTGCGCGCCCGCCCGGCATCCATTCGCGCGCTTCCCAAGCCCATCGTTCGGAACTCATGTGCTTCAACTTCTCGCTTCAATTTCGCATGTCTGGAGCGCCGCTCGCCTATCCAATCCGGTATATCCACGTCGTTCATGCTTCGCCGTGCTTCCACAGCAACGCGTTGAACCCAACTCACCCATGTCTCAACCTCCCCGTCTGTCGCAACAGCGCGCCGCCTTCCGAGGATACTTCTAACCATTCTCATTTGTACTCTCCGCAACTTGGACTCCCGCTCAGCTGTCATCACCCAGCCCCCACCCCCGTGCAATGCTGCCGGTGCTACAACGCAACGCAACGCAACGAAACAGCTTCATTCTGAGAGTGGTCGGCATCACCCTGCCCGTGAATCCCTGCTTGAACGATCCAAACTTCGCCCGTGCCTTCTTCATCCTGTGCGCGAGATCGGCGTCGTGGACACGCGTCTGAAATACAGCTGTACCCAGATATACACTTGTTGACGATGGTTCCAACACTTCAATATTCATGCCCCCAACCAATACTGATCGAATTTTGCTCCCGTTACCAACGCTGTTGCGCTGAATCTGCGTCTTGTCCGGGTGGGGCCGCGAGCCGACCTTCTCGCTTTCGCGCTGCGCGCCCAATATCATGCATTTGATTTGCGGTAGCGAACGCCCTACCAAGATAATGTCGTCCGCGAACCTCAGGTAAGTCAACATTGTGCATTTGGTGTAGCCGAGCTGCCTGCCATACCCTTTCGAAGCCCATGTCGCTTTGACCTTCCGCATCACATCCTCGAGAACACAATTAATTAAAACGGATGGAGTTGATAGCGTCGCCTTGTTTGGTCCCTTATGACATCTCGAACTCTCGGTTCGGCGCGTCGCTCGCCACGCGCGCCCGTTGACCAGAGTATAGCCTGGACAACGCGCGCGCGTTGACGGGACTCCGCGAGCAACAAGCGGCCCCCACATGCTCGAGTGAGATAAAGAATCGAACGCCTTTTTGAAATCGAGCGCGGCGACCCATAGCGGCAGGTTGAACTTATTGCACTTTTCTGCCCGAACAAATGGTCGTCGCAGCTAAACCCTGGCCGGGGCCCCGCTTGGCCAACCGATTGTTCAGCGAAGAATACGTCTTGGATCCTTCCACATTGCACCCTGCTGAACACCTCATGCAGAATTGGTATAATACACATGGGCCTCAAAATTTACGGAAGCCTTCCGTCTCCTGTCTTGAGCATGACTCCGATTGAAGAACCTCTCCAATAATCGGGAACGGCCACCCCAGGGTCGAGAACAGCCGCGGACACATCTGCGACCATCCCGATAAGCATTTCACTTCCTTCGCGCAGCAGTTCGGCCACAACTCCATGCTCGTCAGCAACACTACCGTTGTTCATATTCTTGCTCGCGCGCTCTCGCTTTACTCCCATTGCTCGCGCACTCTTCCGCGCCTTCGATGCTGCGCGGATCTCCTTCTGGATGGCTGCGCTCGCGTCCTTCACGTCGTTATTGTTGCCGTTTCGTCTTGCCGCTCGCCTGTTTCCTGCAAGTAGCTGCAAACGTTAATGCGCAGCGTCATGGGCACGAGATGCCATGCGCTTCTGCTCGGCACAAGACTGCGCATCCTCCAACAATATGTCTTCTATTATACAGCGCCGTTGTTCGATGTTCGACGCAACTTCCTGGAACGGTGAACCCCCCAACTTGTCATCCAACTGTTTATGCTATTCCTCGTCGTTCTTCGGCCCCCACCGTCGTAAATTCGATACGCGGTGTTTCTTCTTGTTGCCGGAACTCCCGGTTGGAAGAGGCCCGACTTTGAACGTGACTTCCAATGCGCGGTGGTCTTGGCCAAGTCTGATATCATCGCTCACCCCCGCGCCATCGATGACCTTCGTCTGACGTGCATCCACCAAACAATAATCCGGCTGACGTTGCACTACATCGCTTTCAGAAGTCCATTGCTCTTCAAACGCCCTCTCAACTATGGTATTTGCAATTTCAAAGTTCTGAGCGGTTGCCCACCCAACGAGCCAGTGCCCCCTGTCGCTTCTTTGTCCCACACCGCACTTCCCGACGGTTCCAACGTCGCCCCCGTGGCTGCGAGCACCCACCGTTGCATTCCAGTCACCAAGCAGAGAGCAAATCCGATTTCCCCTCCTGGCACCTCGAACCAATCTGTCAGGATGGACGTAGACACCTTCTATCTCATCATCCTCACAGCAACCATGCGGAAAATACACTGCGGTAAAAATGATGTTCTGACCAGCCATGCGGACGTCGAGCGCGCATATTTTGTCGCAAACCAAATGGAACGCCTGACATCCACGTGTGCAGCGCTGGTAAAACAGCACCCCCACCCCGCTTGCTCCTTGCAGCCCCCTTGCTCCACAATACATGTGTCCGCATTTGTTCGTCCACCTTTCTCGTACTCTCTGCCGCCACTTCTCGGTGAATAACCGAATATCCCAACAATGCGCTGCACTTCCAAAGACAACTCATGCTCTCGAAACGAAGTCTGTAACGGGTGCACGTTTTTGGCATACATCTTCACGAAATGCTCTTCTACAGGCACTCTACCAGTTGCGCTCGCCGTCGCAATGACCACCTCGGGCGTCGTCAACAAGTTCGTCACGGCATTCGCCATCGACGTCCTGGAAGGCCGGATGGATCCTGCAGGGAAATCGTCATCAATATGTGAATACATACCTCTGCCTCCGTCCATTGAATGTTGGACCTCTGTGATGTCGTATAACGTATGAAAATCACCCTGCCCAGATGCAGAAGAAACCCCCGTACTGGTATCTAGTAGGTTTCGCGTTCTTTCGTTCGTAGACCCAATATCTGGAATCTGTAATCCTCCCCCGCATGGGCGAGCGCCTGAAATTGGTAATGATCCTATTGATGCCGTCCTTCGGCTGCACAATGGGCAGCCCCGAGCTGCCTCGAAAGTCCTGCCTGATGTCACTCGCTCTCCGTGGCAGGGTCCGGAAAGACCTTGCTCCGCCATTTCTCCATCGATTCCTCCATATCCTTCTCTACGACCTTCCTCGTCGCGCTCGCCCGCTATTTCCCTGCCTCATCGTACCATGCTGCCTTCCTTTCTTCTCCCGTAC